GAGTGGGGGATGCCAGTGTTTCTATTCTGGGAGTGGGGACTACCAGTGTTTCTATACTAGGAGTAGAGGCTACCAGTGTTTCTGTACTGGGAGTGAGGGCTGCCAGTGTTTCTCTGCTGGCAGTGAGGGCTGCCGGTGTTTCTCTGCTGGCAGTGGGGGCTGCCAGTGTTTCTCTGCTGGCAGTAGGGGCTGCCGGTGTTTCTCTGCTGGCAGTGGGGGCTGCCAGTGTTTCTCTGCTGGTAGTGGGGGCTGCCAGTGTTTCTCTGCTGGCAGTGAGGGCTGCCGGTGTTTCTCTGCTGGCCCGTGGGGGCTGCTGGTGTTTTCTCTGCTGGCAGTGGGGGCTGCCAGTGTTTTTTCTGCTGGCAGTGGGGGCTCCAGTGTTTCTCTGCTGGCAGTGGGGGCTGCCAGTGTTTCTCTGCTGGCAGTGGGGGCTTCCAGTGTTTCTTTGCTCTCAGTGGGGGCTGCCAGTGTTTCTCTGCTGGCAGTGGGGGCTGCCAGTGTTTCTCTGCTGGCAGTGGGGGCTGCCAGTGTTTCTCTGCTGGCAGTGGGGGCTGCCAGTGTTTCTCTCTGCTGGCAGTGGGGGCTGCCAGTGTTTCTCTGCTGGCAGTGGGGGCTGCCAGTGTTTCTCTGCTGGCAGTGGGGGATGCCAGTGTTTCTCTGCTGGCAGTGGGGGCTGCCAGTGTTTCTCTGCTGGCACTGGGGGCTGCCAGTGTTTCTCTGCTGGCAGTGGGGGCTGCCAGTGTTTCTCTGCTTGCAGTGGGAGCTGCCAATGTTTCTCTGCTGGTAGTAAGGGCTGCCAGTGTTTCTGTGCTTGCAGTGGGGGCTGCCAGTGTTTCTCTGCTGGCAGTGGGGGCTGCCAGTGTTTCTCTACTGGAGGGGGCTGCCAGTGTTTCTCTGTGGAGTGGGGGCTGCCAGTGTTTCTCTGCTTGCAGTGGGAGCTGCCAATGTTTCTCTGCTGGCAGTGCGGGCTGCCAGTGTTTCTGTGCTTGCAGTGGGGGCTGCCAGTGTTTCTCTGCTGGCAGTGGGGGCTGCCAGTGTTTCTCTACTGGGAGTGGGGGCTGCCAGTGTTTCTCTGTTGGTAGTGGGGGCTGCCAGTGTTTCTCTGCTTGCAGTGGGAGCTGCCAATGTTTCTCTGCTGGCAGTGCGGGCTGCCAGTGTTTCTCTGCTGGCAGTGGGGGCTGCCAGTGTTTCTCTACTGGGAGTGGGGGCTGCCGGTGTTTCTGTTGGGCATGGGGGCTGCCAGTGTTTCTATGCTGGGAGTGGGGGCTGCCAGTGTTTCTCCGCTGGCAGTGAGGGCTGGCGGTGTTTCTCTGCTGGCAGTGGGGGCTGCCAGTGTTTCTCTGCTGGCAGTGGGACTGCCAGTATTTCTCTGCCGGGAGTGGGGGCTGCCAGTGTTTCTGCCGGAAGTGGGGGCTGCCAGTGTTTCTCTGCCAGGAGTGGGGACTGCCAGTGTTTCTCTGCTGGGAGTGGGGGCTGCCAGTGTTTCTGCTGGGAGTGGGGGCTGCCAGTGTTTCTCTGCTGGCAGTGGGGGCTGCCAGTGTTTCTCTGTTGGCAGTGGGGCTGCCATTGTTTCTCTGCTGGGAGTGGGGGCTGTCAGTGTTTCTGTGCTGGGAGTAGGGGCTGCCATTGTTTCTTTATTGGGAATGGGGCTTCCAAGTTGTATCATGGTTCTAGTGGCATTAAAAGACAGAGAAGGGAAGTAACCCCAAAGAGGGCCTTGATACCTTAAAGTCCCCTTCCAAACACTAACCCCAACTCCCTCTCTCTTCCTCCCTATCTTCCAGATGCCATCACCAGTCTTCAATAAAGGTAAGTAAAAATGTTATTTTATATGTTTATTTAAATTTATTAATAATTGTGCACTATATTTGTTGTGTGTATGTAAAACTATAATGTAGTTCAGTACTTTCTATAAAATGTATTTTTTGTGAATATTTTTGGGTTTCTGGAATGGATTAATTGTATTTCCATTATTTCTTATGGGAAATGTTGCTTTGCCTTTCAAACTTTTCAACTTTAGAATTAGCTCCTTGAACAGATTGAGTTAAAAATTTGAGGTTCCACTGTAAGTATATTTAGATACAGGTACACATAAGCATAATTATCAGAGTACATATAAAATACGCAATAACTTGAAAACACTTGAAATTTTGGAAAGTTTCCAGACATAATAGATGTGCTCATGGAAAAGGTAAACAAACCAGGTGGGGTGCGCTGTACAGTGGACCCCCGGTATTCGATGGCATCGGTATTTAATACATTTTAACGCAAAAATGTTGCCTTGCCACTCATTAAAAAACCCGCCACACGCGATTCGTCAGAGACGTGTCCACGTGTGGCCTGAACTGCCCCGTATGTGTCAGTGTTTACAAGCCAGCCAGTGTGCTCACATATAAGGATACATTCGGTACATTCCATATTATCACTGTTTTTGGTGCTAGTTTCTGCAAAATAAGTCACCATGGGCCCCAAGAAAGCTTCTAGTGCTAACCCTTCGAGAAAAAAGGTGCTAATGACTATTGAAATGAAGAAAGAGATAATTGCAAAGTACGAAAGTGAAGTGCATGTGTCGGAGCTGGCCAGTTTGTATACAAAACCCCAATCAACCATCGCTACTATAGTGACCAGGAAAATGGCAATCAAGGAAGCTGTTGTTGCAAAAGGTGCAACTGTGTTTTCGAAACAGAGACCGCAAGTGTTAGAAGATGTTGAGAGACTGTTATTGGTGTGGATAAATGAAAAACAGATAGCAGGAGATAGCATCTTTCAAACGATCATTTGTGAAAAGGCTAGGAAGTTGCATGAGGATTTAATTAGAAAAATGCCTGCTACTAGTGGTGATGTGAGTGAATTTAAGGCCAGCAAAGGTTGGTTTGAAAGATTTAAGAATCATAGTGGCATACATAGTGTGATTAGGCATTACAATGACAATGTTGTGAACCACTTTAGAAAAGTCATAAAGGAACGAGAGGTACAAGCCTCTATGGACAAATATGTTGTGCGACAAGTCCAGTGACTCTCAAGCTGGTCCTAGTGGCATTAAAAGAAGAAGGGAAGTAACCCCGGAAAAGGACTTGCTACCTAAAGTCCTAATGGAAGGGGATTTCCCTTTTGAGCAATAAGTTCGACACACTCCTCTCCTCCCATCCCATCAATCATCACCAGATCTTCATTAAAGGTAAGTGTCATGTATTCTATTGTTAATAGAGTACTACAAACTGTGCATGTCTTCTTCAGTTTGTGTGCATTAAACTTAATACAGTGGTCCCTCGTTTTTCGTAATTAATCCGTTCCTGGAGGAGCTACTATAAACGAAATTTGCGATTTGCGAATCAATTTTCCCCATAAGAAATAATGTAAATACAATTAATTCGTTCCTGACACCCAGAAGTATTAAAACAAAAAAAATTTTTTACATGAAACAGAGATGTAGTACATAAACAATACAATGGGAAATGATGAATGAAACATTAACAGCATAACACTTACCTTTATTGGAGATTCTTCTTAGTGTATGGGAGACTGGAGGAGGAGAGCGATTGGATTGTTTACAGTTTGGAAGGGGAATCCCCTTCCAGCAACACCTCAGGTACCAATTGTTTCTCTGGGGTTGCTTCTCTTCTCTGTTTCTTAATGCCACTAGGACCACCTTGAGTCACTCTAGTCATGTCTAGCAAAGTAACTGTGGAGAGAGCTCTGTTTCTGGCATCTCTTTAACACTTCCCTAAAATGGCCCAAGACTTTGACACTGTACACATTTCTCACCTTCTTTACCACAGGCTTGGCACTAGGAGCTTTCTTAGGAGCCATGGTAGCTTATTTAGTACTTGCAAGCACTAAAATGAGTGGAATATTATGAAATATTTCATAGGAGCACTTGAGGGGACCTTCACTCACTGGTAAACAATGCCAGACTGGCTGGGTAGGGAGGCTGCCCCGGCTCACACCATGCGTATGCGTCCCGGACGAACTACTATTCGCGAGTCAACCTATGAAAAGCGAGTCCATGTTTATACGAAAATACCCCTATGATTGGCGAAATTTACGATTGCCGAGAACTATGAAAAGCGAGGGACCACTGTATTTCATGTGGTAAAAATTTTTTTTTCATACTTTTGGGTGTCTTGTACGGATTAATTTGATTTCCATTATTTATGGGGAAAATTAATTCGCCTCTCGATAATTTCGGTATACGATGAGCTCTCAGGAACGGATTAATATCGAATACCAGGGGTCCACCACATTTGAAAGACTGCATGCCGTATAGCAAATTTTGGTCATAATTTGAAATCCCCATATTAACGGAACGCCATAAGGCGAAATGCCGTAAAGCGGGGCCCTACTGTACTATTCATATTCTCATTGCCACAGGCATATGGAAAACAATAAATTCTTATTCTCATTATCCGTAATCCTCATAGGCACTAAATATATTGAATGTGTTCAGAATATGTTAATATGCTAGAATCCTCATTACCTGTAACCATAAGCCAACCTGTAATCCTTAAAACAATTAAACTCAATAAATGTTGTATAGCATGTATTAATACACTGTTCAATTCCTGTATGCCTTGTAATTTCTAAGTTTATTATTACACTCACCTAGAGACTGTACATGTAAGAAATCAATTAGTTATTGCCTTATTAGTCTAAGATAGACTTAAGTTTGCTGGAAATGCTCTTCATACTAAGGGGCTTTCTGCATGCACATCTAAATATCACCTATCTTTGTGCAAGCATTGTATCATGCTGAAATAATCTAAGTACATAGAATATTATTGCAGTTTTTTTGCTCTTTTACAATTTGGCAAATAACTTTGGTTAATCTAGCAACTAAACATTTCCTGGTTATAAATTATTATAAATGCACTATGCTATACTGTATCTAGAGCATCAGGTTGGAAATATGAAGAGGAACATGTATGGTAATACTGTAATGTACAGTTGTTTGTTTCTGTTAATTAGAAAATCGTGAAATCTGGCTATGCATTATCTTGCAGATTGTGGAGGTGTTGCTGAAGGCCGGGGGACATGTGGACCAAGTAACAGCATTTGGAGAGAGGCCTAGCAAGAATCTCAGGCTTAATCCTAAGTGTCAGATCAGCATTCTAAACTACACATCTCTCAAATGTTTGGCAGCAAGAGTTATTCAAGAGCATAAAATTCCCTACATTGGAGAAGTTCCCACCCACCTCGAGTCATTCATCAAGATGCATTAAAGGTACACAGTGGTAAACACTATATTCAAAACATTTATTTTTCAAATATCATAGTGTGGATACCATTTTGACAGATTCCTATGCACTTGATTCCGTGTGAAAAAATACTTGAAAAATTTTAATGTTACTTATATCCTACTAAATGTAAGTGGATACATCTGAGTACTGTATTATAAACTTGGGCTCTTGGAAAATAATATATATATATTTATATAATATTATTTTTTATATTAGTTTTTTATGATTATTTGTATATTAGTTGTAGTATATATTATATGTTGTTATATATATATTATTATATGTTTATATATATGTTTTATTTATGTGTGGTATATTGTATTATATTGTGTGTATATTTTGTTTGTTTTTTTTGTTATTTTTTTTATATATTGATGTTTTATTGATTTTAGTTTATATTTATTTTTATATGTGTATTTATTATATATTTATTTGTATTGTATATATGTGTTATATATATGTTTATATATATATTTATGTGGTTTATATTTATATATTTTATTTGTGTATGTATTGATTTTATGATATTATTTTTATTATATTTTTTTTTTTATATTGTTTTTGATTATTATTATATTTTATTTATTATTGTTATATATATATGTTTGTTTTTTTATATATATTTATTTATTATATGTTTTTTATTATTTATTATATTTTTATTTATATATGTTTATTATATATGTATTTGATTGTTGTGTGGTTATATTTTATGTATATTATATGTATTATTATATGTTTATTATATGTGTATTTAGTATATGTTATTTTATGTTTTATATGTATATATATATGTATATATATGATTATATGTTTTTATATGTATGTTTAGTGTATTTGTATATTATTGTATGTATATTGTTATGTGTATTTTGTATATTGTATGTATTTTGTTATGTTTATATATTTATGTATTATTATTATGTGTATTGTGTTTTTATATTTGGTTGTTTATATTGTTTGTATATTATATTGTTATGTTATATTTTTAGTTGATTATGTATTTTTGATTGTTTTATTTTGTATATTATATGTATTATGTTTATATTGTATTATATGTTTGTATTATTTGATTTGAGTTATGTATGTTATGTGTGTAATATATATATGTATTATTATATATGTATTAATATTATATTGTATTATATATAATATATTTATATATTTTTTATATATATATATATTTAATATTTTATTTTAAAATTATGGGGTTGTGTGGGGGGTGTGTGTGGGGGTTGTTTGTTTTGTGTGTGTGTGTGTGTGTGGTGTGTGTGTGTGTGTGGTGTGGTGTGTGTGTTGTTGGGTGTTGTGTGTGTGTGGGGTGTGGTGTGTGTGGGGGTGTGTGTGTGTGTGTGGGTGTGTGGTGTGTTTTGTGTGGTGTGTGTGTGTGTTGGTGTGGTGTGTGTGGTTGTGTGGGTGGGGGTGTGGGTTGGGTGTGGTGTGTGGTGGGGTGTGTGTGTGTGGTGTGTGTGTGTGGGGTGTGTGGGTGGGTTTTGGGGGGGTTTGTGTGTGGGGGGTGTGTGTGTGGGGTTTTGTGTGTGGGGGTGTGGTGTGGTGTGGGGTGTGTGTGGGGGTGTGGGGTGTGTGTGTGTGTGTGTGTTTGGGGTGTGGGGGGTGTGTGGGGGGGGGTTGTGGGGTTTGTGTGGGTGTGTGTGTGTGTGTGTGTGTGTGGTGGGTGTTTGTGTTGTGTGGGTGTGTGGGGTGTGTGTGTGTGTGTGTGGTGTGTGTGGGGGGGGTTGTGTGTGTGGTGGGGGTTTTTGTGTGTGTGTTTTGGTGTGTGTGTGTGTGGTGTGTGTGGGTGTGTGTGTGTGGGTGGTGGGGGGTGTGTGTGGGGGTGTGGTGGTGTGGGGTGTGTGTTGTGTTGTGTGGGGTGTGTGTGTGTGTGTGAGTGGGTGTGGGGGTTTTGGTGTTTGTTTTGGGGTGTTTTTCTTTGTGTGGTGTGTGGTGTGTGGGGGTGTGTGGGTTTTGGTGTGTTTTGGGGTGGGTGTGGGGGTGTGTGTGGGGTGTGTGTGGGGTGTTTGTGTGTTTTTGGGGGGTGGGGGTGTTTTGGGTGGGGTTGTGTGGTGGGGGTTTGTGTGTGTGTGTGTGTGTGTGTTTTTTGTGTGTGTGTGGGGGTGTGTGGTGGGGGTTGTGTGTGGTGTGTGTGTGTGTGTGTGTGGTGTGTGTGTGTGTGTGTGGGGGGGGTGTGGTGTGGGGTGTGTGTGTGTGTGTGTGTGTGTGTGTGTGTGTGTGTTTTTGGGGGTTGTGTGTTGTGTGTGTGGGGGTTTGTGTGTGTGTGTGTGTGGGGGTGTGGTGTTTTGTGTGTTGGGGGTGTGTGTGTGTGTGGTGTGTGTGTGTGTTTGTTGTGTTGTGTGTGTTGTGTTGGGTGTGTGGGGGGTTGTGTGTGTGTGTGTGTGTGTTTGTGTGTGGTTGTGTGTGTGTGGGAGGTGTGGTGTGTTGGGGGGTTTGATGGGTGTGGTGTGGTTGGTGTTTTTTTTTTTTTTTTTTTTTTTTTTTTTTTTTTTTTTTTTTTTTTTTTTAATTATTATTATATATATGTTATTATATATATTTTATTATATTTATTATTAAATTATTAATATATAATATTTATTTATATATATATTATTATTATATGTATATGTTATTAGTTGTGTTATATAATGTATTATGTATATGTATTATATATATAGTGTTTTTTATGTATATATGTATATATATATATAGTATGTATATGTTTATTATGATTGTTTATGTGTTTATTTTATTTATTGTATGTATTTTATTTATTGTATATGTATAATTTATCGATTTTATGTTTTATATTATATGTATTGTATATTATTATATTATTTATATTATATATATATATGTATATATATATTTATATATTGTATATATTATTATATAATATTATATATATTTATTATATATATATATATATTATTATATATATAGTTAAGTTATATATATATTATATAAGTATATATAATGTATTATGATTTATATATATTATATATATAATATATTTATATATATATTTTATATATATTATATATAATTATATATATTATTATATTATATTATATACTTATATATATATATTATAATATATATATATTATATATATATATATTATATATATATATATATATATATTTTTATTATATATGTATATATATATATATATATATAGTATATTATATATGTATGATATGTATATTATATGTATATATATATGTATTATTAATATAGTATTATATATATATTTTATATATATATATGTTATATATATTATATATTATATATATATAATGTTATATATATACATATATATTATATATTATATATATGTATATATATATATATGTATTTATATTTTATATATCTATATATGTTTATATATATATATTATATATATATATATATATGTTTATTATATTTAATGTATATATTATATGTATTGTATATATATATATATATACATTATATATATATGATGTATATATATATATATATGTAATATATATATACATGTATATTGATATATATATATATAAATATATATACTACATATATATATTATTATTTTATATTATATATTTATATATATATATATATATTTATATATTATATATATATATATATATATATATATATTTTACACATATTATATATATATATATATACACAATATATTATATATTATATATATATATATTTATATATATTATATATTTTATATTTTATATATATATATATATATATATATATATATATATATTATTATATATATATATATATATTATATATATATATTATATATATATATATATATATATATATATATATATATATATATATTATATATATATATATATATAACATATATATATATAATATATATAATACACACATCACCCCACACACATATTATATATATATATATATATATATATATATATATATATTATATATATATATATATATATATATATATATATATATATATGTATATATATATACATAAATATATACATACATATATACATATACATAATATATATATTACAACACACACACACACAACACACACCACTCTTCTTATAATTTGTAAATGGGAAAAGGGAAAAATTATTTAGAATTAAAACATAGAAATTTTTGTTTTTTTTTTAAAAAAATCATTGTAACACAATAGTTAATATTTTTTCTCTTAAAAAAAACTGCAAAAACTTTGGGTTATTTTTTAACCCGTAAAGGGTTCCCAAAATATATATTGTTTTTCCCGTAGTCCCCCCAAAGTATTACAGTGGACCCCCCTAGCGAAGCATCGCAAAGCGAAAAAATCCGCATAGCGAACGTTTTGTTCGTTTTTGAAATTTCCCCCGCATAGTAGCAAAAACCCCCCTCGCGAATTGTCGAGACGGTCCAATGTGCGGCCTCGGCAGTCACAGTCCCGCCGCCCCATTTTTCCCAGTAGCTCCGCGGAAAAACTTCAAGCATACATCGGAATTTTTGATTATTACGGGTTTTTTGGTTCTGTTTGTTGAAAAAAAGGCCATGGGCCCCAAGAAAGCTTCTAGTCCCAACCCTGGGGTTTTAAAAAAAAGGGTGAGAATTAGTATGGAAATTAAGAAAGATTTTGAAGGGTTTGGGGCTAACCTGAGAAGCCTATGCCAGTTGTGGAATCCATTGTGCCTACTTAAAAATTAAGGAAATGTGTGCACAGTGGGTTGAACTGCAAACCTTTATGGATGAAAATCACCCTGACACAGCGGGTTTCAAGGGGTGCTGGTGACTATTTCAATGACAATGTTTATGGCCATTTTAGGGCAAATCGTAAAGGAACGGGAGGTACAGAGCTCTATGGACAGAAAGAAGTCCAGTGACTCTGAAGCTGGTCCTAGTGGCATAAAAGAAGAAGGGAAGTAACCCCGGAAAAGGACTTGCCTCCTCAAGTGTTAATGGAAGGGGATTTTCCCCTTTTTAAACACTAACACACTCTCTCCCTCCTCCCATCCCATCAATCATCACCAG